TAGACAGGCTTGTGTAAGTAAATTGCTCAGTGCAAAGAATGAACAAGTTCTATGAAAAACATTTATGACCTTTGAAACATGTCTAGTCTTCATGCTATATATATATATACATATAAATATATAAATATATACATATATATGTACACACACACACACACACACACACACACACACACACATACATACTAGGGGTATAACGATACACGTATTCATACCTAAAATTTTTGGTATGGTACGCACGTATACCGAACAAATCATTCGATTTTTTCAGGTACGTACCGAACCATCATGTTTGCGTACCGTTACACCCCCATCCAGTATATATATATATACTTAAATAAGATGAAATATTTATAAGATTTATAAAATTAAAATATAAATTACAACATGTGGGCAATACTGACAAGAGTTTTTATATTTAGGTGAAATAGCCCCTTAATAAATTCTGCCAGTCATTTGCTGAACTCTAGGCTAGAAATGTTCTTCAATGAATGTTCTTCTTAAACAACACAACAACACACACACACTCACTCACACACTCACTCACACACACACACACACACACACACACACACACACACATACATACTAGGGGTATAACGATACACGTATTCATACCTAAAATTTTTGGTATGGTACGCACGTATACCGAACAAATCATTCGATTTTTTCAGGTACGTACCGAACCATCATGTTTGCGTACCGTTACACCCCCATCCAGTATATATATATATACTTAAATAAGATGAAATATTTATAAGATTTATAAAATTAAAATATAAATTACAACATGTGGGCAATACTGACAAGAGTTTTTATATTTAGGTGAAATAGCCCCTTAATAAATTCTGCCAGTCATTTGCTGAACTCTAGGCTAGAAATGTTCTTCAATGAATGTTCTTCTTACATCTGGCAGCTTATGAAATGATCTTAATGAAAACATAAGCATGTGTGAGGATTTTACCAATTAATTTCTGCAAACTGAAGTCATTTCGGATAAACTCAGTGTGTCAAGTAGCAGAAGAGGGCAGACGAGAGATGTCTAGCTGATAGATGACAAAAGACTGAAACAGTAGCTGGGTGGAGTACAGCTAAAGGAGAAGGCCCTCTTTTTGTTAGTGTATGAAGAAGCATTAATGGTTAGCTACCACAGTGTCATCTAATGTAACGCATTACATTCCATAAAAAGTAACCAAGTAACGTAATTAGTTACTTTTTTAGGGAGTAACGCAATATTGTAATGCATTACTTTTAAAAGTAACTTTCCCCAACACTGGTCATCAATGAAGAACAGTGTAAGGAAACTGGGTAAGGAAATACTCAGTGTGGTAACCCTGAAAACATGTTATTTAAAAGTGACTTTTAGTTTGCAGCATTGAGTATTTCCTAACAGCATCTATAAATTATAAAACTATGAGAAATGAGGGACTGAAAACTATTTCATGATTATCATAAAATGAGGCAATCAACTATCCATCCAGCTAACTAGAGGTGTCTGACTCTCACCTTTATCCATCAGTCACTATAAAAACACAACACCTGTCCATCAAAGTCAGTCACACTGAAGCCACAGTAATGGACAATTCCGCTTCATTAAACCCATCCATCTGGGTTTAATGAAGCTGAAAAAAATATGCATACAGGCACACATAGATATGCTAAGATACACACAATGAACTCCAGAACAAACGGCAACACACACAGCCATACAAAACAAGCTGACAAAGACCCATCCATCTGCCACATTCACTTATCCTCATGAACAACCAGAGTGTCAGAGCGACTGATCCGCTGTTTGGAGTATCACATAGCTGCTTCTATAAATCAAAATAACACTAAGCCTTCAGCAAAAACATTTGGTTATGTGCCATAGTTAATGAATAGACAAAAACAAATGACAAGACTAAACCAAAAGCACCAGATATATAAATAGCCACCAGTTGACTGACACACTCAGCATCATACGTTGACACAAGGTCGATTTTCAATTCAGTGACCTTCAATTAGGTAAATAAATCTATTCCAGGTGATCAGATCATTTCACAAGCTTAATGAATTCATAAAAGCTTCATTCTGGAGGTCTGGAGCCCCTTCTGTTTTATTAGTGTGTGTGTGACAGACACAGACAGAGACAGCACCAGACCTGCTATAGTCCGTTCAGGGTCATTTTTTTTTATTTGTTTGAAGAAATACTTAATTGAGCAAGGACTAAAATGATCAAAAGTGACAGTAAAGACTATTACATTGTGGGGGGGAAAAATCAGTTTCCACAAAAATATTCAGCAGCACAACTGTTTAAAACACTGAGAAGGAGAAGGAGGAGAAGAATGAGAAGAAGGAGAAGAAGAAGAAGAAGAAGAAGAAGAAGAAATGTTTCTTGATCACAAAATCAGAATATTAGAATGATTTCTGAAAGATCATGTGACACTGAAGACTGGAGATTATGATGCTGAAAATTCAGCTTTGCATCACAGGAATGTTATTTTAAATTATAATAATATTTCATAATTTTTACTGTATTTTTTGATGAAAAAAGCAGACTTATTAAAAACATATTTTAAAAACACAACAGGCTACATACATTGACCATCATATGGACCACATTCATGAATCGTTACGTTGCTTTTTTTGTCATTCTGCAAGCTTAATAACCCTATTCACTTTCATAGAAAAAGAACAGCTAGAACATACAACATGAAGGGGAGTAAATGATACATTTTCATTCTTGGATGAACTCGTTTTTAAAGGCATGGTAGCAAAAACAGACAGTTAAATTTTAAGGGTCAGAGAAAGGAGGAAAAATGTCAAACTAAATTACAACTGTTTTTGATACAAGAAGCCATGGCTAATGTTCAAAATGGACTTCAGGAGGGGAAAAAATGACACTGAAATGCAGAATATTTGATCTCTCTCTCTCAAATTCCTCAAAAGACAAATATGCAGAAAGTCTCGTTTCTCAGAGGAGGATGTCGTCATGGCCTCAGCAGGTTCATGCTGTAGCAAGACAGCCTTGGACAGAAAGAATCACTGACTTGAAGCCAAATGCCAGTTTTATTGCAATTATGAAGAATATAAACGGCCCTCAAAAATGCAAGGATTGCAAAGAAAAAAAAAGGTTCTACATACAGTATGTGCCTTCAAGCACCTCAGTTGGACTTAAATGGTAATACAACAGTGTGAAGCCGAGCGTGTTAAAACATCAACAACGCCACAGAATGGGCAAAGACTGCAGATATTAAACAGCCAGAATTGAGCAGCAGTGTCACAGCCTCACATGCAAAGGCTTTCACAGGCAAAGCCTCAAACAGCTGGCAATGACAGTTAAGTTACCAGTTGACACACGTTTCAAATCCTATTTGCATGCTTGTGTTTTAGCCAATACGATTTCAGAAACAATCACTGGCTACGTATACATAGTCTTTCTGTGTTAAATCAACCATATTTCACAAACTGCAGACTTCAGGAAAAAGGCACTTTTGGCACTCAGATAGGTATGTTCTATGCAATCGTTTAGACAAAGGGAAACAAGCTACAATTCTATAGTTTCTTCAGACTTTCCCTTTTAAATACAACAAGTATCAGCTGTAGCCGAGGACCTCTGAATCATATATTATGAGACATTTGCGGTGATATGAAATTGTTAATGTTATAATTGCTATAACATCATATTTAAAGCACATGCATAATGCATATAAAATAGCCAAATACCAACTGATGATGCCTGTAACATATACAGTAAGTAACTTTGTATGTGTATCCATATATTTTATCATAAATACATATTACATTTAACATTTCTATGACAGGATCTCTCAGCTACACTCACAACATAATCACATTTTAAAGACAAACGATGCAGGCCTATAATCTGGACTTCAGAAATCGGTAATCAGCTCTAAAATCCTGATCTGAGCATCTCTAGCTTTTGCATCTTGACTGAGACCTTGGACACAGGTGGGAAGATAATGCACTAAATATACACACCAACTGGTAAAAGAGTGAGACAACATGTCATGCTACAACGTGACAGCCTGTCACAAGAGCAATATACGAGCAGAAGGGACCCAGAGGTTTCTCTCAGCATGCCTAAAGCTCAGTTTCCACACAGCAGCCCAGAGGACAAGGTTAATTAACATCTGACAGGTTTCACCTTTAAGGAGAGAATCTTCTTTCCAGTACACAAAGGGTAAAGTCAAAGCTCAGTCTTGCTCCTGAAGAGCTCCATTACAATCAATTTTATTTCCAGCTCCATCAAGCACACCTGAACCAGCTAATCAAGATCAAGTTCACCGAAAAATGACAGACAGGTGTGTAATACCTGGAAGTAAACTTTATGAGCTTTCTCTCAATAGGCGAATGCATTGCGCTACACTATCTTTGGCTTTTCTATTTGCCAAAATTGGGTGAGACATCTTCCATCCGAGTGAAAACACAAATATACAGCACCTTTATATAGCACCATTTAAAAGTGTTACACAGGCAATGTATGCTTATAGCACCTGCATGCGGTCTCCTATTTGACAACGACCTTGCTTGGTTTCAAAGAAAAAAACACAACCCAGGCTTATTGGAAAAACGTGCCTGTGGCGACATTTCTGCAAAATGATATGTTGCTTTTTGCAACACTTTCAAAGTGAAATGTCCTATGGAGTTGCACTAAAAGCACATTCAGATTTAACCGAAACAGATGAATATGAATCTGGAAGCGTTTCATTGTGTTGGTTGTTGTACATATCACAGAACGTTGGGAAATGAAATGTCCAGTGATTGCAACACCTACACTAAAACCTAACCCAACCGATAGTGTTAAGAAAAGCAAACGTGAAACAAAAGATATCTCTCTACAGTCACACAAAAGGAAAATACCATAACAACACTGATCAAGTAGATATCACACAAAAATTCCGTATGGCAATAAGGGTAAATTTAGCACATCTTCAACAGAAATCTCTAAAACATTTCCGTATAACACCTCCAGAGAGACATAAGTGTAGCCTTACCTCGAAATTTCTTAGGAGGGTTGTTTAGGTCCCCAGATTCTGGTTGCACCACGCAGCGGTCGTCCACCAGACTGCAAAGATGAGAGACATGAGTCAGAGTACTTAACTGGAGGCAGCATACTGAGTATTTCTATTTTTATACAGCTATTTTTCACTTTTTCTGCACTGATTGTGGGGAAAAGAAACTTCAGAGTTCAAAGTACTATAGTGCTATTCGTAGCTGACAGCATGATAAAAAGAGATACAATATTTAAAGAAATACGCAACCAAAATGACATTTTTGTAGAGGTCATCTACTGCATACCTATAAACGTTGAAAAAATTAAATTTTAAACAATACACACACATTTATAATTTACAACCTCTCTTAACTAGAAAAAGGACAAAATCTTAAGGGCCTTTAAATAATAAATAATACAAATTAAATAAAATGTATAAAATAATGAATACAAAATCATACTAAGAAATCACCCTGCACATTTAGAATGAATTTGTCCAGCAGACACCGGCTCAAAAAACTTAAGTAAATAATTAAATGCACATTTTTATATTATATTTCTTACATGAAGTATTACAGTATTAGCGTACAGAAAGAGAAACGATTAGCAAATCAAGAGGCCTTTGTGTTTCCTGAAAGGTATATCTGCTTGAATGTATGAGCCACGGTTTTATCTTGTCCGTTCATTATGAGCAAATGTCAATTTAGACTGATCCAATCATTCAGTGATAATGTAATGACACCAAAATTTGCCTCTCATTATACTTGCTCTATATCGCTAAAATCCAGAATGAGTCAAGGGCAGTCTAACTCTTATTTCACAAAGCAGTTAAACACACTTCTGTTTGGTTATGAAAAACTGTGACAAACACATTCTATAACCAAAGTGAGTCAGTTATGGCTGTAAGAACAAATCCACAGCTGACATATAAGTTCAAGGTATTTTCTTGCTATCATTCAATAATGTTCTCTCAAGTCTCAAGTAAAAATAATGAGAGAGAATAGGGATATTATGTTGTCAGAAAGCAAAACAACTCTTGTTTGGGTTTGAATGGAGGAGGGAACATGAAAAGAAGGAACCAGAGATTTTTGGGCCACATATGTGAGAGGATGAAAGATTGGGAATGTCCAAAAATACCAAACAAGACTGTCATTAATTTATCAGTAGTCATATGGAGTAATAGGGACTGTCTGTGGTAACATCCATCTCAATATTTTAAAGTTAGAATCCAATAAATCTCTGACAGCAACTCTAAGCAAGCGTCTGGTCATGACCTTATACTGTATATTATTGGCTACATTTCAAAACCTACTAAGCTGCAAGCCTGAACTGCAATTTTTGGGCATCATACATGCATTAGAATGTACAAAATAAACTTGCACAGTTTTGCTGGGCATCAAATGTGCATTCATGTAGACACAATTTAATCTAAACAGCATTTTCAGGCATCACATGCATATCTTTAAAATTAAAACTACAAAGTATTATAACCCTAACCTAAGCCTATATATAAATATATATATAGAGATATATATATATAATTTATCTTATAAATTACTACAGTATTGTAATATTGATTTTAAAATTTACTAATTTTTAAAGGGAAAGCATTAAAAGTAAAAATCCAACCTACTGTGCACTGCATTTCTAGACATCGTAGTAACATACATTACTGTTTGGGATCAGTAAGACTGATTTTTATTGAACATAGTATCATAATTTAATACTATTCAGCAAGGATGCATTAAATTGACATTAAGTGAAAGACATTTATATTAATGTTGGAAAATATTTTTAAATAAATTATGTTCCTTTAAACTTTTAAAGAATAATGAAAAATATTAAGCAGCACAGACGTTTTCAACATTGATAAAAATAAGATTTTTTTTTCAGGCAGCAAATCAGCATATTGCTCATGTGACACTGTCACACTGGAGTAATGATGCTGAAAATTCAGCTTTGCATCACAGGAATAAATTACATTTTAAAAATGAGTCTTGAAAAATAAAATAGAAAACAGTTATTTCCATTTTTAAAGATATTTCAGAATATTATTGTTTTACTCTATTTTTAATCAAATAAATGCAGCCTGGGTGAGCATAAGAGACTTCTTTCAAAAGCATTAGAAACATTTGGAATGGTAATGAAAGGAAGCTACACAGTATTGCTGATTATCACAGGTGTGTTTGAACATCCAACTTGAACCTACTCAAATTATTTGTCCGTTTACAACTGGCCTACAAATACTGTCTATGTAGGCAACTCAGTAGGGTTTTAAAGCACAGTTATACAAATGAACCAGCACCAAGTCTGTATGTAATTTGCATCCAGTTTTCATCTATTCACCATAAATGCAACCTGGCAAGTGAATTTCACAATCTCCAGTGGATAACGTACAGGTGGCTTTGGTCTTTAGTCCATTTGCACCAGGACTGCCAGTTCTCATCACACTGGCATTGTGTCCTTTCTGGTTCCCTGTGCCCAGCTGTAGGCCAGGTGGCTCATTATCCCATCCGTGCTAAGGTCGCTCGGTGGCACCGAGACAAGCACTACACACTACGTACACCAGTGCAGCTAAATATAGCTGTGGCTCATGAGGATGTGCACACAGTAGCAGGGCAGAGAAAGTGATTACAATGCACAACAACTGAACAAAGGCGTCTTGACAAATGAGATCTGTCAATGTTCTGTTCTTCAAAGCCAAACGCTTGCTATTGTTGCCATGGATGGGTGACGTGGAGTAGCCGTGTGTGTGTGTGATCACATCACGCAGGCTGGCAAAGGGGGCTGATTGCCAGCACAATCTCATTTCCAGGGGAAGGACGTGAGGAGGGCAGTGTTGAGACTTGGCTCCCTTTCCTTCAAGTGCAGGATCAGAATACAGAAACGTAAACGGAGGAGACCACACCTACCGTCAACTATCTGGCATTCTAAACAACATTTTGTCCTGTATTAATATTACAATCTCTAATTGGTGTAACTGTTGGGTTGCATACAGGTCATTTTTCCAGTGGAGGAAATATAATGCTATATAGAAATATTAAAATGGCATTACATTTAGCAAAATTTTACAGGTAAAATCACATTATTTTAATAGGAGTCTGCATGAACTGTGTTTTGAGCAAGGACAAAAAAGGTTCTCCATGCAGATGGAGAAGCTGGTTATGTGCATTCACTGTGTTGACCAATAGAAAGCTGCTTGGTTTGAAAGGGACTTCTGTGTGAGCTGTGCTTCATACAGTACATCACAAAGCTACTGACATAGGACTTTTTTGGCCTGAAAACTTTTGCAGACATTTCAGTAACGTGACTGATCCTAAATTGTGTGCAATTAGCATAGCAAAAAAATATATAGATTTAAAGGATTAGTTCACTTCCAGAATAAAAATGTACTGATAATTGCACAATCCCAGCCGAGGAATCAAACTGGGCCTACTGAAATTTTCCAAAATTCTGTTGTTAAGAAAGCCCAGGTCATTCTCTGTGCTACTGACCACCCACTACATACTGAGTTTCAGATGCTGCCATCAGGCCATCGTTTTAGAGTTCCTGTATACTGGACGAAAAGAATTAAAGATTAATTTGTTACTGTGGCCATTAAGTTACTGACCAAGTCTGATGGGGAGGAGAATGTATTTGGTATACAAAATTTATGAACTTGAGTAGTGCCTGGTTGAATTTTAATGTATGTTTGGGAAATTGTATGTTTACATTGTATGCTTTTATGGGTGTGATTGTTATGTGTGCATGAATATGGTTAGTGTATTGGAAGTTTGCTGCAATCTTAGTTTCCCTAACGGGACAATAAAGTTGAGTCGAAGTCGGAGGAATAAGGGTCTTATCTAACCCCAAATGCTTGTATTGCACTAGCTCTGCGATGTTCAAGTGCAGGATCAGAATACAGAAACGTAAACGGAGGAGACCACACCTACCGTCAACTATCTGGCATTCTAAACAACATTTTGTCCTGTATTAATATTACAATCTCTAATTGGTGTAACTGTTGGGTTGCATACAGGTCATTTTTCCAGTGGAGGAAATATAATGCTATATAGAAATATTAAAATGGCATTACATTTAGCAAAATTTTACAGGTAAAATCACATTATTTTAATAGGAGTCTGCATGAACTGTGTTTTGAGCAAGGACAAAAAAGGTTCTCCATGCAGATGGAGAAGCTGGTTATGTGCATTCACTGTGTTGACCAATAGAAAGCTGCTTGGTTTGAAAGGGACTTCTGTGTGAGCTGTGCTTCATACAGTACATCACAAAGCTACTGACATAGGACTTTTTTTGGCCTGAAAACTTTTGCAGACATTTCAGTAACGTGACTGATCCTAAATTGTGTGCAATTAGCATAGCAAAAAAATATATAGATTTAAAGGATTAGTTCACTTCCAGAATAAAAATGTACTGATAATTGCACAATCCCAGCCGAGGAATCAAACTGGGCCTACTGAAATTTTCCAAAATTCTGTTGTTAAGAAAGCCCAGGTCATTCTCTGTGCTACTGACCACCCACTACATACTGAGTTTCAGATGCTGCCATCAGGCCATCGTTTTAGAGTTCCTGTATACTGGACGAAAAGAATTAAAGATTAATTTGTTACTGTGGCCATTAAGTTACTGACCAAGTCTGATGGGGAGGAGAATGTATTTGGTATACAAAATTTATGAACTTGAGTAGTGCCTGGTTGAATTTGAATGTATGTTTGGGAAATTGTATGTTTACATTGTATGCTTTTATGGGTGTGATTGTTATGTGTGCATGAATATGGTTAGTGTATTGGAAGTTTGCTGCAATCTTAGTTTCCCTAACGGGACAATAAAGTTGAGTCGAAGTCGGAGATTTAAGGGTCTTATCTAACCCCAAATGCTTGTATTGCACTAGCTCTGCGATGCGCGACTTCACGCATTAAGTATTCATGTTGGAAAGGTTGTAGGAAGAGGTAGTACCGAGCTCCATCTGATTTTCTCCTACAACTTCAAAATTGTCTGACATCGTTGTTTTACCTGTTTTTGTCATTTTTTCACTTTCTTTGCACGTTCGTTTTGTAAACACAGGGTCGGTACTTCTGCATATGTCACCTTATTCCAATGTGATTACGTAATGCGTGAGGTTCGAGCTGGTGCATAATGAGCATTTGTGGTAAAAAAATATGTAATTTTTTTTAATGACCGCTTGTTTCACTAGATAAAACCCTTATTCCTTGGCTGGGATTGTGTAGACCCCATTGAAGCTGCACTGAAACCCCTATTTGGACCTTCAACCCATTGGGTCCCATTGAAGTCCAGAATATGGGAAAAAAATTCTCAAAAACCTTAATTTGTTGTGTGACTGAAGAAAGAAAGACATGAACAAATTGGATGGCATGGTCAATAAGGGGACAATAAGTTTCCATTTGTGAACATCAGTTTTTAGATACTAATACATTAGTTAAACTAACAATAAAAAATTATTTAATAATATTAATTTCAACATTTTTAAAAGCGGTGTCTGTTAATATTTAATAGACCTGAGCTAACATGAACTTACACTAAACAGTTTAATTTTTTTGATTGATGCTAACAAAGATCAATAAACACTGTAACAAATCTATTGGTCATTGTCAGTTAATGTTAGTTAATCCATGCACTGTCAGTTAATGTGGACTAAAGGGACCTTTTTGTAAAGTGCCTATCTATCTATCGTTTAATTAAAATATCATAACTGGATCGTCCAGTGAAACAACAGATTTCTCTCTGGTGACATATGCAGAACTTCTCCAATCATTTAGTGCGCTTACACCCATCCCTTCAGACTCCTCTGCCTCCACTTTTTAAGCTCAATGCCCACACCTCAAAATCCAATCAACATGAATTGAACCATTTTTTTCTTTTACCATAAACTGTTACACTTGGATGTTCATCATTCACAATGCAGAAAAGATCTGTCGCTACTTCGGTTTCATCTCAACTTTTAGGAAGGAGAAAACACTTCCCATATCCCAATCTGAATTTTAAGAACCAGAACAGAGACTTTTGACTTGGACTAGAGAGTAACCACCTAGCAATGCTCTAGTAACCGGCATTCATCATAACCCACTGAAAATGCATCAGAAATCCACACTGTAATACATACTGCACAAAACATCTCTCAGTTACTTCTCATTTCTGAGTGTTGTACATTCATTTTCTTCTTCCTCTTGTGCACCTATATTTTCATCATGTTCCTCTTATGTACAACACTGATGTCCACACACTGGGTGATGACATGTGGATGGCTATCTTACCCTAAAGTGCTGATAAATCCATTGGTGGATCCCTCCGCATACAGGGAGCAGATGTCCCCGATGTGGAGGAAACTGGACATTTTGTCTGACATTTTGCGGTGTGCCTGCAAACAAGATAACAAACAGATTAAAGGAGCAATAAAATCAGCATAATACCTATATGTCCTTTATTTATCTTATTTAGACATTATATGTAGGTTACCATCAGAAAGGAGATAGCGAGACAATAATAGCAGGAGGACCATGGGGATAGATTCGAGAAAATGAGAATTTGCCATTTTGAGATGGCCTAGTTTTTGACAGGAATTCAAGGTCCTTCTGCTGTATGGGTGGATAATGAGAAACGCTCTAGAAAATACAGCTGTGCTACGTGCTGAAAAGACACTTACTTATATACTACTTTTGTTGATTCTTTGAAATGTATTGCTTGTGTCTTTCTAACGGGCTGCAGCACCTTGGTTCAACTAAAATAGCTGTTAAATCACAGTATCGTTCAAGGACAAGTATGTGACATCTGACCTGTTGAGGGTCTCGACAAGGAGGGTTCAGGGCCATCGACAAATGTCAGTTGTCTTATATGACCAGTACAGTTTACACAACCTTTTATGTTTCTTGAACATAGCCTATGTTTTATGCAATGCAACTTAAAGATTTGGTTTTCTATGTATTGTTATTGTTGCATTCATTGCATAGCGATTCATTCATTGCTCAATTAAATATTATACTTTCTTTTATATTTTAATGACGCACTGATTATAATACTGAAATATGCTATAAGAAATAAAGCATAAACTATAACAAAGCATCTAACAGAATTGATTGAAAATGACGGAAAAATAGCAGAAATGCTTTTATGAATTTATTATAATTTCATTTATGATTATTCATATAATTAAAAAAAAATGTATTTTAGTACATTACTTTTTTTTTTACAAAAAAGTATTAATCAAAATATAGATAATAAAGTTGCAATATAAAAGGAGAAATAATAACAGTAAATTTACACATGTGCAATTAAATGATAAAAAAATTATATTTATTTTGTGGGGGCACTGAAAATATTAGTAATAGGCCTATGTATCACTTTATGTTTAGGCTAATAGATAATTTAGCACAAGCCACAGAACAAATGAACTAATAATGAGAAATATGCACTCAGATCCTTTCATATGTATTCATTCGCAGCTAATCCACTGAACATTTCTCTTCTGAGTCAATGCTACAATCGGCTGGAGATGAAGCCTACAGTTCAATCAATGACAGACGACACCGGAGAACATCAATAAGGAACAGGCTGCACACATGCTCAATATATATCAGTGTAATACAAATAAATAAGAGTGTTGACAGTGCCTGCCTTTATCTTAACTGACAGTTTATGCGCTATTGGAAAAAAAGAATGGAACTTTGTTTTCTTTGTGTGATTATAAAGACTAATTATTATTTGAACAGTAAACATGCTCTACCTGTGAAATCTCCATTGATAAACCACATCATGCCCTCATGCTCTGTTTGAAATTCAAATATAACCCAAGTGAATAATGCAGATGTTTACTTTATTTTATTACACATCTTCCTGGAATTCCGATTGGTCATTCATGACATTAAGCGGTCAAAATTACTGTACCACAAGACAACCCTGAAACCCGTTTTTTTTTATCTTCATGATCAGTTCTTCTGCATCTCTACATGAATAAAATAATACTCTGATCAATATTTAATATCCAGTTGTTTATTTAGCTACTTGATAAGATCAAACAAGCTATAAAAACCCTGTTGGAGTGTATTTTGTGATAATGGCTGCCTGACTGTACATTAACCCTTACTTAGTGACCGAAATAAAGTTGATAGTCTGCAATGACATCTGTGCAGGAGCAATAATAATGCATTACAAGCCCACTATAACAATAATTGCCCAAATGAACTGCAAATCACAGGAAAACCTGAAACAATTCTCCATATTTTCCAAACTGACAAACACCTCACTATAAGTCAGTTTATATTGTCAAATACCACATATTTATAGTAGACTAGTAAACATGGTGAATAATTGCATGATGGACAGCTAATCAAAACTAACCCATTCTCAAGTTTATACAAGAATGCTTGCTCTAAAAACAAGAAAGACCAAACTAATTGATTTGGTCCAGCTGTTTCTGCCAAACATAGTCCTTGGGAAGATATAATTTCCCTGTCAACTGTAAAGCACGGTATTTGGGAATCTTGAGAATCTTTTAAAACTTTATACAAGCTCCACATTAAAAAGTTCAACAGTATGTGGCCTGTTAAAGCAATCGGTGCACGTGTAGCTGGAATGACAGATGCACGAGTGCTGTCCCTGAAACACTGAATCGCTTATTTTTACTGTGTGGGGTTTTAAATTTGGAGGCCGAACTTATCAAACTATAGCTTTTATGTGTAGAAAATTATTTCTACACGGACATACACAGCTGAGACATCAACCTTGACGCTGAGATCAAACCTAAAAGCTTAATTCGACAGGTGATAATAAACAGCCAATCAGAATTCACCAGCCTCGAACTGAACAAACTAACCGCTTTATTCCACAAACTCCAATCCAGACACTAATACTCTAAACCCGACGGTAGAATAATGACTGTATCCACTATCTTGTGCGGTCCACTTGCCTCCTCCAGCAGCACTCGACACTGTTACATATGGAAACAGTCTAAAAATGTTGCAATATTACCGCGACAACCTCCAAACGCGCATCGAACGCCTTTATTGATACACTGTAACACGCTGTCAAACTTCCGTTCTGCTCTCACTGATGGATGCATCAGTCATACATCCACTGCCTGACGCTGATGTCTCCTCTCGCAGTACAGTAACAGCAAGAGTTCAGCTGAACTTTACCTTCTTCAGAAGGAGACCGTGTCGGGAATAAAACACTGGCGGTGTGGTCAGCGGCACAACTGCTCCGGCCGGGATTTCTCGTTTAATTCCATCATATGCGAAAGTCCCCAATTGAAAATCGCGGCGTCTAGTTGCCAGTTGGATTTTGTCCGCACTTGTCCGCTTCTCACCACCTCCACATGAGCCCTGAGGCTCCGCCCCCTAACTGAACGCGCATCAGGAGTGAGAGCTGATGGGTAATGGAGTTCTGAAGCTCTAAACAGATAGATAGATAGATAGATAGATAGATAGATAGATAGATAGATAGATAGATAGATAGATAGATAGATAGATAGATAGATAGATA